CAGGTGTTTGTGCACTTCAAGTTCGCTGATGTTGTGATGTCGTCCCAGACGCGTCTATCTTGGGGAGAGGGAGATAACGGTCAGCCTTCGAACGCCCAGCTCCGCGCTCACAACGACATGATGCGCGCGCAAGCCGATGTGCTGCCAGATGGCATGCCCCCCCTCCCCGTGCCTGCGCTGGAGATGGCGGAGCCCGCCCCAGTGACGGGCGGCCGCTCGGGCGACTGGGACGACAGCGAGCGCGACGGGGCTGCTGAGCCCACGGCGCCAATGACATCTCCGCAGGCGCCGCCGACGCAGGACCCCAGCCTGGACGGCCAGTGCGAGGGCCGCGGCGAGGGCGGCGCTGGCGCTCAGGCCGCGGCGACAGGGGCAGTGCCTCAGGCGTCGTTGGCACCATTGGATGAGGAGTTGGAGGCAGCGTTTGATATGATGGAGTCCGAGCATCATGGATCCACGGAGTCCAAGGCGCTGCCGCCCTGCGCTGGTTCGCCAGCGACGCTCGCTCCAGATCAGCCAGTATCGTCAGAGCAGCCAACCCCGGCCCCAGCAGCTGCGCGCTCGGCGCCCGCGCCAGAGCAGCCACCCCCAGCTTCGCCGTCGGCGCTCGTGACGGCGGTCGTGGCAGAGCAGCCTGAGCAGCGGGCCCCGCCAGACCCAGCTGCGCCAACCGCGCTGCCGTCGTTGGGCCAGTTCGATAGGTGCGACCTGCAGCAGACGGGATCACAATTCGGTGATGCCCCAGCCGTCTTCGAGCCCAGCCCGCTCAAGACGCCAGACGCATGCGCCGCTATCCCCCGGCCGCCCACCGCGCCTGTGTGGAACGGGCCGCCCAGTCGCGAGGCCGCCTCGTCGGCCCGCCGGCGTTTGCTGCGCCAGCGGCTGCAGAACGACGACGCCGATGATGGCTCGATCTGTTCGACGACGATGCGGGGCCGAAGGCGGCCAAGGCGGGGCCGAGGCCGCGCAAGTTTCTGAAGAAGGCCCTTCTGGAGGGACACTGTGCGGATTGCGTGGGCGACCAGCCGCCGCCAGCATGCGCTCGTTCGCAGCCTGTCACCCCGCCGATGTCCGCAAAGGCGCTGGCCTGTTGCTCCCCGTCCAGCATGCCCGCCCAGGCCAGCAGCGGCAGCAGCCCCTCCGCCCCTTGCGCCCCGCCGATGTCAGCAAGGACGCCGGCCTGCTGCACCCCCGCGACCCAGCCCGCCCAGGAGGGCCGTGACAGCATCGCCCCAGCCGCCTCCGCCTCGGACTCGTCGGCCCTGGGGCGCAACGGGGCGGGGTTCGATTCGGTGGAGAAGGCCCGCATTCAGTCGTTGCTCGACGCCAGTTCCCCAGATGGCTGCGACGGGCGTGGCCGTGGCGGAGCGCCTGGGCAGGCGGACTCAGACTCCGTGGACCCATTGGTCGCCCCGATGTTCCCCAGTGCTGGTGCTGGGGCCATGGGCGGGGGCGGCTCTGGCCTGGCATGCCATGGCTCTATGGCCCCGCCCTTGAACATGCCCAGGGTCCATGCAGCCCCAGTGACGAGTCTCGAGAGTGCTTTTTCGTGGGCAGATGATTACTTCGACGTCATCACCAACGTTTTCCCGCAGGGCATCCTCTGGCACTTGAAGCACAAGGTTCTCCACGGGGTGAAACGTTTAAACGGCTTTTGAAACGCAGGCGCGGTGCCCCCCATGGCCCCTGGCCGACCCTGCCGGGCCCTTGGGCGCCTGGCCTACTCCTCGGCTCCGAGGCCCTCGCGGGGTCCACGCTGGCACCGCCCAGGGTTAGTGAGAGGGGGGGTCCAGGGTCGTCCAAAGTCCCAGATAGTTGAAAATCTCGACGGCCCAGTGGGCAAGGGGCCCGGGGCGCCTGGCAGACGGGAATCTCGTTGTCGTCGCGTCGTCATGGTATCTGCTACGCTCAGGCCCCCAGGGTTGGTCTGCATCATTGGGCATTGGGGTTGTCAGTGGTCAGAGGCTAGAGGCTAGAGGGGTCGCGCGGCCAACCGCCCAGCTCCAGTTGTGTCTCTGTCTTGGCTGCCCCCCCCCCCAGATTGAAAACGCGACTCGGACCGTGTGTTTCGCTGGAGTGGACGGCATGGGCATCGCGGACCGCATGATCAGCCACGCGCTAGGCGACCGGTTGCAGTGGAGGGTCACGCCCATGAAGTTTCTCGCGGCCATCGAGAGAGACGAAGCGTGCCAGGAGGAACTGCGGGACACGCCTGGGGCGCAGGGCGGCGAGGCAGAGCACCTGTTCGAGGACATCGAGGAGTTCTGGGCTGGGCAGGTCACGAACGTCATTCAGAAGTGGAAGAAGAAAGGTGTCAACATCGACTTGAAGACCTACGTGCAGGTTGCCAAGCAGCGCAATGGCATCGTGCCTGGGGCCAAGTGCAAGGTGCATGATAAGTTCTGCCTCTTCCCACGCGCGATGTTCCACCAAGGTTCGCCGCCTTGCACGGCTTTTGCCAACCAGGGTAATCACGATCCGACAGGTAATGCCAAATGGCCGCTGGGCCGCTGGGGCTTTGGGAAGCAGGGTTTGGGCCATTGGCATTGGGTTTCGAGTCGAGAGGTTTGGCATGCGGCATGGGTCCTGGCGGGGCCCGAGGGTTCGAGGGCCTCCGAGGGTGCATGCAGTGCATGGGCCCATGGGGCCCCCAGCCCAGGGCCCCGGGTGGGCCCCAGGCGGGCCCAGGTCCCAGGGGGGCGGCCCAGCGGTCCTGTGGCATCATCGTTCATAAGACAGCTGGGGAGAGTATGAGTGCGGCCGCGGCGTGGTTCTCAATGCGCCTTTACTTCCAGGAGCCTGTTGTATTAATGGAAGAATCCGACAAGTGGCCCGCGGAGTTGACGCGCATGTTCCTGGAAGATGACTACATCATCATGGGCGGCAAGTTCCAGGCGACCAAGTTTGGCTGGTTCTGCCGCAGGAACAGATACTGGGCAGTGTGCTTCAGCCGCAAGTTTGTGTTGAACGTCTATTCGTCCCTCGATAACGTCATCCACTGCTTTCATCGCGACATCTTCACTAGCTGGGAGTGCGTTCTCGTGGCGGAAAGCGAGAAGGAGCTTGAGGGAGAGATGGAGGCCGAGATCAAGTGGGCAGCTGACCGCCCCAAGTCTCTCGCCAAGGTCAACGGCTTGCCACGTGATGTCGGAGATCAGTTCCTCGCCGCCCTCACCAAGTTCGAGAACGACAACCGCCTGGAGTACCAGGATCCGAGGGATATTGAATTCTCAAGCGATTGTCTCGCCCAGGTCAGGGTGGCCTAGTCGCTGCGGCGGGCCGCGGGGGCTGCAGACGGGCCGCGGGCGGGTCGCAAGGGTGTCCCCTCTCCTCCTCCTCCTCCTCCCTCCCCCATCCGCCGGCCCATCCGCCCTCTGGCCGCGCCCCCTCATCCAGGCGCCCGGCATCCGAGGAGGCGAGGAAGTGGGAGGAGTAGGGGGACGAGGGCGAGGAGGGGAGGAGGGGAGGAGGAGGGAGGGGGGGGAGGAGCAGGAAGGGGAGCAATGAGGAGGAACAGCAAGCCCCGGGCCGCTTTGATTGTTTGGGGCCCTTGGGGGGCCCTTGGGCGTGAGGTTCGGTTTCGGACGTTTCGGACCAAGGGCCAAGGGCTCCTTGAGGCCCAGGGCCCAGGGCGCCCGGCCGCCTGGTAAGAAACGCGACGATACTCGGGTCCCCCACCCGCCCCTCGGCCCACCTTCATCGGCATTTCCTGTATCCTCCTCCCCCCTCTCTCTCTCTCGCCTAGTATTCTCTCGCTATGCCTCCCAGCGCCACTCCGCCTCGCCCACTGCCACCGTCTCTTTCAAAGAGGCGATGGGCGAGGAGGAGTGGCGCCAGGAGGCATAGCGAGAGAATGCGAGGTGAGAGAGAGAGAGAGAGAGAGAGAGAGAGAGAGAGAGAGAGAGAGAGAGAGAGAACCCCAGACCCCAGGCGAAACATCCTGGGTGCTGCTGCAACTTGTACCAGTCCATGGCCGAGAAGCGCGGCGCCGTGTCCTCGGACTGGGAGCTGATGTGCATTATCCGCAACCCTGCCATCTACTGGGTACCCAGCCGCAAGCGCTGGCCGTTGGGGTGTTCAAAGAAACCCATCGTCCCTCCAAAAGGAAAAACGGGGTGGGGTCTCCTCTCTCTCTCATCTCTCTCTCTCTCCCACATTCTCTTTTTCTCTCTCTCTCTCTCTCTCTCTACTCTCTTCTCAGTCTCTCTCTCCTCCTCTCTCTCTCTCTCATCTTCCTCTCTCTCTCTCCTCTCTCTCTCGCTCTCTCTCTCTCCTCTCTCTCTCTCTCTCTCTCCTCTCTCTTCTCTCTCTCTCTCTCTCTCTCTTCTCTCTCTCTCTCTCCTCTCTCTCTCTCTCTCGGTCTCTCCTCTCTCTCTCTCTCTCCCTCTCTCTCGATCTTCTCTCCTCTCTCCTCTCTGGTCTCGAGGATAGGCTCTCTCTCTCTCTCTCTCTCTGGCTCTCTCTCTCTCTCTCTCGCTCTCTCTCTCTCTCTCTCTCTCTCTATCTCTCTTCTCTCTCTCTCTCTCGCTCTCTCTCTCTCTCTCTCTCTCTCTCTCTCTCTCTCTCTCTCTCTTCTCGGGTCCTCTCTCTCTCTCTCTCTCACTCTCGTCTCTCTGCTCTCTCGCTCTCTCTCTCTCTCATCTCATCTCTCTCTCTCTCTCTCTCCTCTCTCTCCTCCTCTCTCTCTCCTCTCTCTCTCTCTCCCCTCTCTCTCCTCTCTCAATCTCTCCTCTCTCTCTCTCTCTCTCCTCTTCTCTCTCTCTCTCTCTCTCTATCATCCTCGTCATCTCTCTCTCTCTCTCTCTCTCTCTCTTCTCCTCCGCCCCCTCCACCCCACTACCGTGGGGGGAGGAGCAGCCAAGCTTAGCTGAGGGGGGGCGGGGGGGGGGGGGGGGCCCATGGGCCATGGGGCCCATGGGGAAAGGCTGGAGGACGAGGGAAGATGGGGAAGGAGTGGGAAGGAGGAGGAGGTGGCGGCTCGCTTCTGGGACCTCTCTCAGGCTTACTGCTTCCGAGATGCTGATGGCGAACGGGGTGCCAGTGCTCCAGCGGTTGGCCAATCCCGCGGGCACCCCGGCTCGCTTGACGAGCTTGTGTGCCGTCGCGAGCGATTGTGGATTCACCCGCCTCGACAAGATCCGCAACACCCTGATCAAGTTCTCGGGGAATGGCCTCAACATTCCAGTGGCTGGCGCTATGGAGCTGTACGCGCTGCTCTGGGCGGAGATTGATTGCCACTCCCCCGTCATGGGGGTCGCGCAGTCCATCATGCAGGCGGCTCGCTCAGCCTGCCCAGCTCGCCCCGAGCGGCGGCTCGACAAGGGCGGCGACGACAAGAGGAAGAAGAAGGAGAAGGCGGCGAAGACGATCAAGCAGGAGCGGACTGAGGAGACGATGACTGTGAGCATCAAGAAGACAAAGACGAAGACCGTCATCACGACGGCCCAGGCCGCTAGCGACGGCGACGGCGACCCTTCGAGCAGCAGTGACTGATGGCCCAGGTTGGGCCGGGCCCCCGATCTAGGCTTGCCAGGCTTGGGTTTTGCATGGCAGCCCTGCCCCATCGCCTCCCCGCCCCCAAGGCCCAGGAGAGCCCAGGATCACGATCGCGTCACCGCGGCTGTATTCGCTTCGAGATCTGAATCCGCCCCTGGGCCCCAGGACTCCAGGACTCCAGGACATGTAGGAGGAGGAGGAGGAGGAGGAGGAGGAGGAGGAGGAGGAGGAGGAGGAGGAGGAGGAGGGGAGGAGGAGGAGGAGGAGGAGGAGGAGGAGGAGGAGAGGAGGAGGAGGAGGAGGGAGGAGGAGTCCGGAGGAGGGGGAGGAGGAGGCAGCGATGGCCTGCGGCCTGAGGGGCCTGAGGGGGGCCCAGGGGGGGAAGGCAAGGGGAGGGGAGGAGAGGGGGGGGGAGGAGAGGGGGCCGCCGCCGCAACTCGCGAACTTTTCAGATGGGGGGTCTCAGATCTCAGGGGGCGCTGCTGGCCCCCCCCCCTGGGCCCCTGCCATCCAGCAGCCGCGCGGGCCGTGCCGTGCCTGGCCGAGCCGCCCAGGGCCCGAGTGCCTGGATCCTGGATCAAGCGCCTCAAGCGCTGCGCTGTTTGGGTTTGGGCCCCGTGACCGTGACCACCTTCCCCTCCTTCCCCCATCCTGGGTCTTGAATGTTTGGACGCATTTGTACGTCGTGAATTCGTTAGTAAGCGATGCGAGTGGCTGCGAGTGGGACAGCCTCGCGTCTGTGATGGGCCCAGTTTCCACTACCACGACCATAAGTAGGATGGGGGGAGGGAGGATGGAGGAGGGGCCTGAGGAGGGGGATCCTCAGGATTCTCCGATCCTCCACCTCATCATCCTCCTTCCCCTTCCCCTCATACTAATGGTAGTGGTAGTGGAAACTGGGCCCATCGGCCCATCCCAGCAGTCTGGCCCCCCTAGCTGTTGGGAAAGCTCTTCGTTCGATGCCACAGGGTCCAGCCTCTCCCTAGCAGTTGGGTAAGCCACTGCGTCTGCGCTGCCCTGCCTGGACCCGCACTTCGTCACCGTCACCCTGCGACTCGACCTGCCTGGCGCACCGTGTCCTTGCCCAAGCTGAAGCTGGGCGCCCTGAGCCTGTGCGTGGTCGATGGTTCGACGGTGGCCCCGACGCCGCCCGCGATTGCCCCGACGCGCACTCGCAACAAGAGCGTCTCGCGAGGGCCAGGCGGCTGCCACTGCAAGATGATGTACAATACTGTGTTTAGTATTGATGTACGTTCTACTTATACCCAGTGGAAAAACGCCACCACCACCAGGTCCCCACCCTCGTTCAGAGCAGGGCCTCAGGCCTCAGGCCCGTCGGCCCATCGGCCCGTCGGCCCTTTGGTCCCTCTGCCTTCCCCCCTTCCCCCCCCTCCTCCTCGTCATCTTCCACCTCTCCTCTCGTCCTATATTCCTATCTTCCTTTCGTCAGCCCCCTTCTCCGTCCCCTCTCCCCGGCCCCCTCCTCTCCTCTCTGGGGAGTGCCCATTCCTGAATCACTCCAGCATCCCTGCCTGCCTCCTGCCCAATCCTTCCGCCCGCGGGTGGAAGAAGGGGGGCCAGGGGCGTCGCTGGCAGGCTCGCCAGATATTTGGGCGCCCTGGCGCGACCCGGCGTCGCTGGAGGCTGGGGCCAGGGCTCCGGGCCTGGGCCCCCTGCTGCTGCTGCCGCTGCTGCTCCTCTAAGAGCCCCGCGGGCCCGCCCGCCAACGGGAGGTCGGGGTCGGCCCAGGGGCCCAGGGGCCCTAGGGGCCCTGGGGCCCAGGGCCCTCCAGGGGCCCAGGGGGGGGTCCTGGATGGGGCCCAAGGCCCAAGGCCCAAGGGGGGGGAGAGGAGGGGAAGGACCCGGGGAAGGAGGGAGGGAGGAGGAAGGCGGGCGCGATGTGATATGGATTGGTATCTGATCTGGCGTCTGGATACGGCGCAGACGCCGACCCGATCCCTTCCCTTACGCTCGGCGCTCGTGCCTGGGCGGCCCAGCGGCGCGCGACGTCGGCATGGGAAGGCCCGAGAGCTGACGGCCAGTTGGCGCAGCATCGAGCTGCCGCTCTACCTCCGCCGACGACCCCCCTGGGCACGAGGTGCCCATATAAATCCTGTGCCCAAGGCTCGGCCGCCCCCAGCCCATGGGCCGCCGCGCGCCCCGTGGCCCCGTGGCCGCCTGGCCCGCCTGGCTTCATAATCGTACCAGGTGAATCGTACCAGCGTGTCCGGCCCCCAGCGCCAAGCCTGGGCCGCCCTTGCCTTCAAGGGCGCGCGGCGCTGTGCGAATTACTTGTGCGTGCCTGCGGGGCGCCACAACTACCCCTCGCTGGCCCACCGACCTGCTCGCCATGCCGCCAGCGCAGGACCCCCTGGCAGCCGGCCCGGCAGCCCCGGCAGCCTCAGCAGCCTCAGCAGCGCTTAGCACGGCGATCGCGGCGAAGCACGAGCTCGAGGAACTGGCGCACAAGACGGCTAAGCTCCAGGAAGAAGCGCTCTACCAATACACTCCAGGGCAGACTATTTACCAGCGCTTCACTGGGATTGCGCCCCCTGGGGGCCTCAGGATGCTGCAGGTCGTGAAGCAGCACTACGGCATCCAGGGGGGGCGGGACATGTGGTTACCCTGGTACCAGGCCGATGGTTCTCGCACGTTCGTGCCGCACGAGGAGAACGTCCGCGAGCACGACTCGGTCGTGGAGGAGTGCGCAGACAGCATCCGAGAGCAAGGACGCGGCCATTCCAACTCGAGACTCAATCACCTCCCAGGGTCCCAGGGGCTCTCGGACTTCGGATCTCGGCATTAGGGGGGGGGGAGGGGGGGAGGGGGGGCAAAGGGCGCAGGGCCTAGGGCCTCAGGGCCGCTAGGGCCTCTAGGGCCTTCAAAGGCTTTGGAGGCCCTGGGCCCCTGGGCCCCAGGGCCCTTTGGCCCCCCCTACTCCAAAGGCCCCCCCCCCCCCGCGGGCGTGGTTGTTCTCGCGGGGATGTTGGCTTCCTGGCTTCCTCCAGGAGTAGTCGGGGACTGCCGCGGGCACCTCTTCGCGATGGAGCCCGAGCTCGAGAATGGCCCGAAGCGCCTCCTGACGTGGGGGGCGCTGGGCAGGGCAGCCTACCTGTGTTTCGAGAACCCCAACGATCGTCAGAACGAGAACGTCAAGGTCCGTGACCGCGAGTAACATACATGTAGTAGGAGTAGGAGGGGGTGGGGCCCCGTGGGGCGTTGAGGGAGGGGCAAGAGTCGGGCAAGAGGCCAGAGGAGGAGCGAGGCGGCCGAGCGCCTGGGGCCCTGGGGCCCCTCCCTCCTCAGCCTCCTCAGCCCTCCTCCTCTCTCTCCTCGAGGGCCCCTCGCCGACTCTCCTCATCTTCTCTACTTCCTGGAGCCTCCCCTCCTCCTCCTCCTTTCTCCTCCATCCTCTCGCCGTCTTCCTCGGAGCCCATGCCCGCGCCCCCGTTCAACCCCGTTTTGTTTTACACCAGCGTGCCCCGACGGGCGGCGGGGGGGTTCGGGGGCTGCTGGCGGCCCCCTGAGGCTGGCGAGGCCTCGCGAGGCCCGCGGCCCAGGATTTTTTTCGCCCTGGAGCCCGAGAGGCTCGGGGTCGCACCCCTGGCCCCAAAACAAGCCTGCGGCGGCCCCAGGCCCGCCTTTTCGGCCTCCCCGGGGCGAGGTCAGCCTGGAGAACGGCGTCGACAATTGCACCATCTTGGACAAGAGGATGCCCAAGGATTGCGTCATCTGGCTCAGGGACTACGACAACAGCCTGGAGAAGAAGGTGGGCATCACGATCGTGCAGCTCTTGCGGGACACCGTGGAGCTCGAGGCGAATTTGAAGGTGCAGTGGGATTTACAACAGTGGACATCGCGATCTGGCGGCTCCAAAAAAATGTACGGTGAGATCGTCAAGACACATAGGGCCAAATACCCGTCCGAGAATGTGTGGAAGCACTGCTGTTCCATCGTGCATAAATTGGAAGGTTGGGGCCTCTTCGAGCCCGTCTTGAAATTCATGGGCGAGTACGTTGACTTTTCTGACAAGCGCTACAACACTCTCGACACCGTATCGAACTTCCACGCTTTGGCCGTGGCGGTGAGCAGCTGCACCATGCTGACCTCTGACGAGATCGAGATCGCGATTATGGAGGCCATCAAATTCATGCTGCCGCTGTCCACGAGGAAGCGCCTCAGTGGCCGGGCGCCAGAGATGATCATGAATATGGCTCAGCCCACTATGGTTAGATGGATTGGCGCCTCCATGGCTGGCAGCTCGCTGTACCTCAAGGATGACGCCGCGGAGCCCGAGGATGACACGGCGAATGAGGAGAAGAAGCAGCAGGGGCAGGAACATCAGGATGAAAATAAAGGTAAGCCCGACCACGACGCCATGGAGGTGGAGGAGGATGAGGATGGGCCTGCGGACGAGCACGACGCTGAGCACGCTGAGCACGACCCTGCCAAGACCCGCCCAGGCAGCAAGAGGAGCGCGACGGCCGCAGCGCTGAAGCTCCCCAAGGAGGTCATGAGGAAAAGAGTGGCGGTGACCCAACCTTTCGCATTCAACAACAAGCCTGTCGTGGGCGGGACATCGGAGGGCCAGCAGAAGAAGAAGATGCAGCATGACCTCGATAAGGATATCGACGACTGCGACAAGGAATCTGGTCTGAAGGACATCGTGGACGGTGACGGGACCGACGGCCGCGCGCCGCTCTGGTTGGAGGACGTGTTCTTCGGGCTGCGCCACGCCTACGGAGTTTTCGGCGATAAGGTGTCCAAGGAGGCCAAGGCCAGGGGGGGATTGCGGCATAGCTTGTTGGTCTCTTTGTTATGTTTCTTGGGGGCCCATTGGGCCCATAGGGGGCCTCACATTGGGGGCCCTTTCGTTCGGGAATTTCGGGTCCGCATTCTGAAAGTCCGAGACCTGGGCGTGTTAGTTCGCTACCCCCGAGTTCACTATGCAGAGCAACCTGGTATCGCACGCTCTCGAGTTCTGCTGGCGCAAACAA